GTATCTGAAACTATGGCAACCAAAAGTCAATCAGCTATGCACCCCTTGGTCTCCCAAAGGCTGATGACTAAATTTTCAATTGGGCCCTTATTACAACTTAAAACAAAATCAAACTAAAGCCCATTAATTAATTAATCCAAAACACAATTTGGTCAACCAACAATACTTGTTGAAGAGCTTCCTTTGTTCCCCTTGCTCTAGCCCTTATCATAGGTTATGTTCACATCATTCTCTCCCTCTTGAAAAGGATTTGTCCTCAAATCGGATTCGTCATCTACATTAAAAAGAGATAAGTCTGACAAATTAAATGTAGAACAAACATTATACTCACTTTTTATGGTTAAATAACTCTGTTTCACTTCAAGTGTTTCACTCTTCTTTTGATCACTCTTTTTCCTCTCAAGTGTTTCACTAACGCTTTCTTTCTCTCTCTTTTCTTGAAGAAGTTTTTCTTTCATTTTCTTTTTATCCTCACATACTTCTTGTGGACTCAAAGGTTTGAGCACAATCTTCTTGTCTTGGTGTATGAAAGAAATCTTGTTGGTGAACCCGTTATGATTAACTCTTTTATCAAATTGCCATGGTCTCCCCAAAAGTAAATGACTGACTTTCATAGGATAATATCACAAAGCACCTTATCATTGTATTTTCCAATGGAAATGTCCACTTCAACTTGTTGTCTCACTTGCACCTCTCCCTTCTTACTAAGCCATTGAAGTTTATATGGCCTAGGATGTGGTTTGGTAGCTAAATTTAGTTTTGATACTAATCTAGCACTAGCCACATTAGTGCAACTACCTCCATCTATGATCATCATGCACACCTTGTCATTGATTAAACATCTAGTGTGAAAAATATTTTTTCTTTGGTTTTCTTCCATAGGTTTCAATTGACTATCAAGTAATCGCCTAATCATCAATAAATCTCCCTTTGGAATCTCTTCCTCCTCAGTGTCTTCACTCTTTTCTCCCTCTTCAACCTCAGATTCACTTATATATTCTCCCTCTCTAAGAATCATGGTTTTTGTGTTAGAGCACTCATAAGCATAGTGTCCTAGGCCTTGACACTTGAAACATTTCACATCTCTACTTTTTTTAGAGGGTTGTTCTTCATATTTTGAATGAGTCTTTGTAGGAATAGGTGTGGAACTACTAGAAGTAACATTCCCATCTTTTTTGTCTTTGTCCTTCCAACTTGAAAATCCAAAGTTGGTAGAACTCTTCTTAGTCACTTTTTTTTTAAGTTGTTGCTCCACTCGAATTGCTTTATGAAGTAAATTCTCCATATCAACAAACTCCTGCAACTCAACAATATCACATATATCAATATTCAAACCACCAATAAATCGGGCCATAGTTACCTCTTCATCTTCTTCAATCTTTGCTTGAATCATGAGCATGTCCATTTCTTTGAAATACTCCTCAACCCCTTTGTTGCCTTGAGTAAGTTTTTGGAGTTTAAATTTCAAGTCCCTTGCATAACTAGCCAGCACATACCGCTTCCTCATGATCCTTTTCATCTCACTCCATGTATTAACCATTGACTCTTCATTTCTATCTCTCTCCTTTTGTAGCTTGTTCCACCAAACAAGAGCATAGTCAGAAAATTTTGTTGTTGCAAGTCTCACCTTTTGGGCCTCCTCATAATTGTTGCATGAGAAAACATGTTCGATTTTCATCTCCCACTCCAAGTATGCTTCTGGATCACTTTTTCCTTTGAACGGAGGAATGTTAAGCTTGACTCCTTCAAGCCTACTTGGTCTTGTTACTCCATCATTCATTCTCCTATTTCTCCTTTCTTCTTCGTCTTCAGAATTTCTATTCTCCAACCGGTTCAATCTTTCATGGAGCTCATTGTTATGTCGTATCATTAATCTTTCCAAATGTTGTACCAATACTCTCATTTGAATTGGACTAATTCCTGCTTCTTGATTGTAATTTTCCTCTTCTGCCATCAATTTGATGTTTAAACCCTTAAACCGGAGCTCTGAATACCAAATGATATGAATCACAAGGGTAATTTAGGATCTTTAGGGTTAAAACCTTATAAGAAATTTAGGAATTAGAAAGAAGGTGGAAGGAAAGAATCACTCTTTCCAAGGGAGGCAACACACAAAGGATGTGACAGTCCTTTGATACAACCAAGGGTTCTTGAATCACTCAAGAATTTAAGAGAATCACTCTCACTAAGATAAAAGAGATAAACTCTAATATTTCTGAATAAAATTTCACTTGTTATTTCTTGATAAGAATGGTTCAGCTGATATAGAAGCGTTGCCATCATAATTACAAAAGACTCAATAAAAGAAAATAAATACTAATAATAACCCATTAATCTAGGAATTGAAAACTATTTAATAGAAACAAATAAAGGCTAATAATGATCCATTAACCTAGGAATTGAAACTACTTAATGACTGATTGTATCTGAAACTGTGGCAACCAAAAGTCAATCAGCTATGCACCCCTTGGTCTCCCAAAGGCTGATGACTAAATTTTCAATTGGGCCCTTATTACAACTTAAAACAAAATCAAACTAAAGCCCATTAATTAATTAATCCAAAACACAATTTGGTCAACCAACAATACTTGTTGAAGAGCTTCCTTTGTTCCCCTTGCTTTAGCTCTTATCATAGGTTATGTTCACATCACCAAGTCCACATGAAGAAATATGTAGATAAAAGGAGACAATTGAATTTTAAGAATGGTTACATGGTTTTGGTTAAATTGCAACCTTATAGACAACACTCAGTTGCTTTGAGGAAAAATCAAAAGCTCAGCTTAAGGTATTTTGAACCATTTTCAGTCATTGAAAGGATTGGTTTGGTAGTTTTCAAATTTTTACTTCCGCCTACAACCAAAACACATCTAATGTTTCATGCATCTCAACTTAAACCATGCAAGAGAGACCATATGCAACCTTATATTCCACTTCCATTTACCAATGTTGAAGAGCAACCAATAATTCAACTAGTTAAGATCTTACTGGAGAGGGTTATTGTCAAAGACAAATAACAAGTACATCAAAAATTAGTCCAATGGCAAGGATTTGACAATGAGTAAGCTACATGGGAAGATATTGCAACACTGCAACAAGTGTTTCCTGAACTTAACCTTGAGGACAAGGCTAATATTAAAGGAGGAGGCATTGCAACAAGGCAAGAAGGGGGGAAAAGAGTCATTAGCTAAAAAAGAGGGTGAGGAGCACATGGAGAAAGAGAAATTGGAAGTGAGGAGGGGTTCTCGGGTCAAAATAATAAACACCAAATTGAAGGATTTTTTTGGAGGAATGAATAGTATAAAAGAGTTTGTTAGAATAGAGAGGGGAGGAATGATTTTTCTAGCTGGTGATCCATTCTCTTTATGAGGATTATTCTTTATTTCATTTCTATTGTAATGGCTGTCTGTTACATTTTTCTATTGTACTGATAGTTGTAGGAAATTATTCATAATGACGATGCAATTTAGTATTTTGTGAATCCATTTGTTGCTTTTCGATTCATTACTTGTTACCTTATTACATTATCTTAAAATGTTACATGATTAATTAATGTTGAAAATCCATACTTACAAAGGTTACCTAAAAGAATTTGAGTGATACATGAAATACTGCTATTTGACTTAATTCGAAACAAATCAAGTTAAATAAGGAAAACTTAACCTAGTGTAACTTGAGAATTTGTTCCTGTGTTAATGGTTAGCTGAGTTATAGACTTTAGTGAGAGAAAGATGCTTCATAAAATAACCTACCCTATGCTCTGAACATGGAACATGCAAAATTATAAGTTTTTGTTCATAACTTATTGTATTGCAAAATGAAAAAAGATAATGATTAGTATGTGTACTAGCCAATTTGCAAATACATCAAAGAGAATAAATTGAGAAATATAGGAGGTTTCCAAAGGGAACAATAGTTAGAAAATTGAAATTGGTTAAATATTGAGACTAAAAGAGTCAGAATAAGAAATTTGATTTAAGTAATGAATTGGAATGTGCAAATCGAAGGTGTAAGCTTTAAATGCTTAAGGTTAGGAAATGATCGAAAATGTGTATTATCGAGAAGAGAGAATTGTTTGAACAAACAAGAACTCAATCGCAAGTATCGTGTGGTCAATCGAATGTTGGGAATTGAAAAATCGGGAATGTCAAGTCTAGGGTTGTTAATAAAAAGAAACAAGACGTTAAGGAAGTTATGCAATCGAGAGATATGCAAAAACAATTATGGTCTCATTACGTGATAGATGCACTTATGGATATTACGTGACAACAAAATGGTTAAAAAAAAGGGAGGAGAACGATTATAGGAAAATAAATGTTTGTGGTTCTTATTTTCCATTTTGTGTATTTTATTTGACTTTACTTAAAAAAAAAGTTTGTGGTTCTTATTTTCTATTTTGTGTATTTTATTTGATTTTACTTTAAATTTTATCTTCATTTTTATTTTTTATTTTAAAGTGTCTTAGTGGTTATACGATGAAAATATAAATAGGGTGAACTAAATATAAAAAAGGATGATTGTCAAATTGTATAAAAAAAATTTTTGCATTCTAAAAAACATTACAAACACGAAACAAACATTTTTAATGGAGTTCTTTGCAATTTGGATTGTCATCTTATTGATTTTCTTTATTAATTCATTTTTTATCCTTAGTAATGAGTTAAATTTATTTTTTATGTAATTTTCTTTCTTCGTATATTTATATTGAACATTTACTTTCTAACAATTTATTTTTATTGTATTTTTATAATTCTCACAATTTACTTAATGTTATAAATTGTATTGAAAATTCAAGTTAGATGCAAACGATTACTGATTGAAATATATTTTATTTTAGCTATTGAATGATTGATGTTGATTTTATATAAATCCTCTATTTTCTAATAATATAAACGAATCCATATGATATTTAAACGATTCATTGTGTATTTATGTATAAAATATTTAATCAAACAACAAACCATTTATACTAATTGAATAACACTTTGATGATCACAATATAGGATGAGGAGAAAGGAATCAATAGAAAGTTCATTGAAGAGAGTTTTATCACTAGATGATGATCAATGGTAGTGATAGATATTCTTAGGACACGAGGAAAGTTATGACTCTCTCCCCCAAAATTTTATAACTTACGATAACATTTATAATTTTAATCTCCGAATTTAATGGTTATTCTAAAAATTTTATAACTTACATTAACATTTATAATTTTAGTCTCCAAAAATTTAATAATTATTAAATATATCCATTTGTATATTTATAAATTTGATCTCTCACCATTTATTTATTATTTATTGATAATATATTATTTGATAACGTGAGATTGACAACAATGCTAAATTATGATATTGAAACTTGTGTTGAAGCACTATCAATCCACAATTTTTATTTTAAATTTTTTTAAAAATATGATTTGATAATTAAGTTTTCAATATATTATCATCTTAAAATTTCTTTTACTGAATGATAAAGTAATATAATAGAGCTAAAATATGGTTTCTCCTCCTAAAATAAATGAATAATTCTAACAATTAATTATACTTTATGAATATTTTTTCTCTTGTTTTTTATTTCTCATTAATTATTACGGTTTCTTTCACATTACATTTCATTTTCCTCTCTTTTTAAATATTTTTTTTATAAATTATCTAAAATGAAAAACTAATTAATTTTTTTTTAAGATTAAATTCAAAATAATTTCAAATATATTTTTTAATAATAGTATATTTTAATCTAAATCTAAATAAAATATGTTTTTTATATTTAAATTATTTTAAATTAAGATAAGTATTTTAAAAATTATAAATAATATGAATATCAATGGATTGATATGAAAAATAGTTAATTTTGTGAACGTCGCGCATTAAATATGAATTTTTTTTATTAAACATAATAAATTATATGACTTTTATCATAAAAAATATATTATTTAATTAACTAAATAAATTATTTATAATTTTTAAAATATTTATCTTAATTTAAAATATATAAAGATTTTATTTTATTTTAAATATATATTTTATTCATATATAAACTAAATTATATTTTTATTTAAAGTAAATTCATAAATATATTATAAATTATAATTTAAAAAAAATTAACTTTAAGATTTTTGTAAAAAAATTAATTAAATAGAGAAAATTAAAAGAGAAAGAATAAATAAGAAAATTTAATAACTTATAAAATATGTATAAATATAACGTATAACCTGTGAAATGAATATGTATAAATAACCCAATCCATTTAACTTACAAATTTAGTGAACAGTAATTGTTTAGTAATCAGTGGATCTTCTTCGTATGTATTTATTATTCAAATTTAATAATTATTGAATAAATTTGTTTGTATATTTATAATTTTATTTTCTTTTATTTATTTATTATTTATTAATAATATATTATTCAATCTAAAATGATTTTCATTTATTGTTACAATTTTATTTTTTTTATACACTCAGAACTGCGATGAGCTGGGTTAGTTCAGGGTCACGAGTCATATTCACGTTCCAAACAGGCCATTGCATCTGAGTGACTAATATCCATGTTGTGTTATGATATACACAAAATGGCGACATCCAGTACATAATTCCTATCCCATGGAATGGAATTGAATCAATCAATTATAGACGCTTTCAAACTTTCTTTCTCACGAAAATTAAATATTAAATTTATTTTTTTCTATTTTTTAAGGGATAATTGCTAAATTCACATCTCCGAGATTTTTTTTTTCACAAATGTTAAAAATTATCAATAAAACCGTTACATTAAGTGAAATTACCAATAATAATAATAATAATAAAAATAAAAATAAACTTGTACATTAAATTTGAAATAACATTGATTTAGTTCATAACCCTTTGGGTGATTTCAACTTCTTTCTTGATGATTTGATTTAGAAATAAAATAAAAAACTCCATTGCTTATTTATATATATAAAAAGAATTGTATGTTTGGATTTGAATGGGCGATCCTGTAAAGAGTGCAGCTAAAAAGAAGGAGAATCTAAGGAGTAATGTTTTGGGTGGCGAAGGAAAGAAAGAATGGTTAGAAAATGACGACATTGGAGTGTGCGTGACACATTATCTTCTCATCCCTGTAATAGGCGGAGAATTTGAATGCGAGAGGACCTATAAAAGTCCCATATCGAAACCATGTTGTCATTGAGTCGCCACATTCTAAATCCCTTAAATTGGAGTCGCTTCCATTTGTTGACCTTCACAACGATAACAAGAACAACCGCCTTCTTCAAATCTCCTTCTCCTCTTACATCTTCTTCAATCGCTGAGCCCAAAACAATGGGTTCTCTTTCCGCTCTGCATGAACCAATCCAATATCCCACTGCTCGTAGAGACCACTCCGTCGTTGACGACTTCCACGGCGTCAAGATTGCCGATCCTTACCGATGGTACGGAACTTCAACCAACTTCCACGTTATACTACATTTTCATTTTCATTTTCATTTGGTTTTTAGTGACAACTAACGAGCAAGTGTTATATGATATTCGACTTACGTTAAGAGTGATTGGTTTTGTTAGGCTGGAAAATCCGGAGGCGGACGAAGTGAAGGAGTTCGTGCAGAAACAGGTGGCGTTGACGGATTCGGTGCTGCAGAGGTGCGAGTGCAGGCCAAAGCTGGTGGAGAAGATAACGAAGCTCTTTGATAATCCTCGTTACAACGCTCCCTTCAGGCGTGGGAACAAGTACTTTTACTTCCACAACACGGGTCTTCAGGCGCAGAGCGTGCTATACGTGCAGGACAGTTTGGAGGCTGAGGCTGAGGTTTTGCTCGATCCCAATGGGCTCAGTGAAGATGGAACTGTCTCACTCAACACGCTATCGGTTAGCAAAGATGCTGAGTTCTTGGCTTATGGTCTTAGTTCCAGTGGTAGCGACTGGGTCACAATAAAGCTGATGCGCATTCAGGACAGGAATGTTCAGCCTGATACTTTATCATGGGTTAGTATTCACAAAAACTGTTGAATGTCTTGACTGAAAAAGAGTTGAAATCAAAATAATGCTAACGATTAATGTTTCAGGTCAAGTTTTCCTCTATTAGTTGGACGCACGATAGCAAAGGTTTCTTTTACAGTCGCTATCCAGCTCCAAAGTATGTCATCCCTATTCTCATGTTCTTTCTAGGATTTAGTTCTGGGATTGGTTATTTATGTTACTTATTGTAAAGAACTTAATCAGGGACATTCTCAGGGATGATGGTTGGGTGAGTTTCATATCTATCTCCTTGATTGAAAATTTGAATTGATACATTGCTTTGCTAAGTAGGGATGGGGAAATAGCAGATGCTGGGACTGAGACTAATGCAAACCTTTATCATGAACTCTATTATCATTTTTTGGGTACTGATCAATCGGAAGACATTCTGTGTTGGAGAGATCCTGAGAATCCTAAATATTTGTTTGGAGGAAGTGTTACCGAGGACGGGAAGGTACTTTTTTTGTCATTGCTTTGGAACTTTGTAATATTTACGTGTACATGTAAGATACGAAAATCTGCTCACCATGTTATGTCATTGTTTTCTACAATGCTTTAGTAATATTAATACCAATGATGCTTCATTGTTTATACCAAATGTTTCACGTTACTGTGGAAATAGTTTTTAACTTAATTGGATCTTCAAACTCTATAATGTTTTGATTATTGTCAGAAAAAGGTTAAGCAGTTAACTGTTATGTGATGTCTAACTCCATTAGAAAATATTCTTTAAAGCATTAGCGAAGGTTTAGAACGAACTATAGTTGTTTTTTCTTTCTTGCATTTTTTGTAGGAACTAATGTTAAATCATAGGATTGCAAGTCAGACATGGTAGTAGGCTACGCATAATATGATTTTCCCTTGTCAAGGGGCATTACTGTGACAATGCATAGATATGATTTCAAATTTCCTAAAATCAACTGTCTGTTTTTTGTTGATTGTGCAGTATGTTCTTCTCTATATCGAAGAAGGGTGCGATCCAGTTAACAAGCTTTACTACTATGACTTGTCTCAACTTCCAAACGGGCTGGAAAATTTTCGGAATGAAAATTCCCTCCTGCCATTTGTCAAGCTTGTTGATAAATTCGATGGACAATATCAAGCCATTGCAAATGATGACACCTTGTTTACATTTCTAACTAATAAAGATGCTCCAAAATATAAACTAGTTCGAGTAGATTTGAAAGAGCCAGATTCTTGGACTGATGTTATCCAAGAGTCTGAAAAGGATGTACTTGAGTCAGCACGTGCTGTAAATGGTAACCAGCTCATTGTGAGCTACTTGAGTGATGTGAAATATGTTTTGCAAGTAAGAGATTTGGAAACAGGATCCTTGCAACATCAATTACCAATTGACATTGGCTCAGTTAGTGAAATTTCTGGAAGACGTGAAGAATCCGAGGTTTTCATTGGTTTTACAAGCTTTTTGACTCCTGGAATCATATATCAGTGCGAACTGAGAACACAAGTTCCTGACATGAAGATATTTCGTGAGATTGTTGTCCCTGGGTTTGATCGGTCTGAGTTTCATATCAATCAGGTAAACCAAAAAGGAAAAAAAGATTCACTGATGCTCTGATGAGTTTTTCTATTTTAAAAAGTTCACATTATTTGTTTGTCTATTTCAAATGTCATTAATCTGTATGAGGGTGGGCATCGCCTTAGAACCTGTGTTGTTTTATATCTTCTATTCTTTAATGTAACTTGCACGTTTTAGGTTTTTGTGCCTAGTAAAGACGGTACCAAGATTCCAATGTTTATTGTTGCCAGAAAGGATATTGTTTTGGATGGTTCACACCCTTGTCTGCTGTATGGATATGGTGGTTTTAACATCAGTCTTACACCATATTTCAACATCAGTCGTACTGTACTGGCGAGACATTTAGGTGCTGTTTTCTGCATAGCAAATATTCGAGGTGGAGGAGAATATGGGGAGGAATGGCACAAAGCTGGTTCCCTTGCAAACAAACAAAACTGCTTTGATGACTTCATTTCTGCAGCCGAATACCTTGTATCTGCTGGTTATACCCAACCCAAAAAGTTATGTATCGAGGGTGGAAGCAATGGTGGACTTCTTGTTGGTGCTTGCATAAATCAGGTACGATTCATTTTCCATTTATTTGGGAGTTGCAATTGGGGTTCTTTGGTGTCTGGTCCTTTGAAATTTTGTTACTTCCTTTTTATTTAGTTAGCTGAATTTCTTACCTGCCCAAATCTGTGAACAGAGACCTGATCTTTTTGGTTGTGCACTGGCTCATGTTGGTGTTATGGACATGCTACGGTTCCACAAATTTACAATAGGTTTGTTATGTTCGGTTTTCTCGACTATAAATTGTTATTTTGTATCATATATTTATTTGGTTGTGATTCAGGTCATGCTTGGACCACAGATTATGGTTGTTCAGACAAGGAGGAAGAATTTCATTGGCTAATCAAGTGAGTACGGTTATACCTATCATGAAATATAACAATATTTTTTTATATTTTGTTAATGCAAATATGTAATTTCTGCTACTAGTTTTTATTTTAGTGATGATTTGTACGGGACTGCTTGTAAGTAATGGATACTGCGGGCAGTATTGATTACGAAGGATTGAACATGTTTTGGACAATGAAAATGGATTGATAATTTGGTAGGATGCTTTAGTGAAAGTGTAGAGGATGGACACGGATTGATAGAACTCTTAAATTAGGCACAAAATAGACCCATGAATAGCTGCCCCACTTTTAACTGCACTTATGATACTATTACCATTCACCACCTTTGATCCTTTGATTATTATTTTGAGTCAAGGCTTGTTTTAGTGCCCATTAGTTCAGAAGCTACACATGCATTTCCTGCTGTGAGAAGTAATTTTAATAGAGACAGTCTCATTAGACCAAAGTTATTACTATCGTGTTGGACTGCAGGGCTTCCTCCCTCTTTTGTCTTTCAGCTAAACATCAATAGGGCAAAGAATGAGCAATTAATTATCAAAATGATGGCAACTTGCCCCTAGTAACAGGTGATTTGGTTGTTTGTGCTTGTGCACTTCCGTTGTGATAGTCATGTGATTAAGTACCTTGAGTTAGTTATTCCCTTATCGAAGTGCTATAACAATTCAGTATGGGGACAGCTAGGTGTAGTTTTAACTTCAATATTCTTTCATCAGCATATATAATGCAGATTTCCTTCCTGGTTTATAGTTGAGAACTCTCATTCTCACTTTGGAGCCTTTTTTTCCCAATATAGGTTGGATAAAGTATTGATGTGATTTTCTGATACATTGTTTTAGGTATTCACCATTGCATAACGTCCAGAGACCTTGGGAAAAGCATCCTAATCAGTCAATTCAGTACCCATCGACAATGCTGTTGACTGCTGATCATGATGATCGTGTTGTGCCATTGCATTCATTAAAGTTATTGGCGGTTAGTCTGTTTCTTGAAAGTATTAGTTGGAGAAACTTTCAAACTCTCTGATTTATTGAATTATTTTGCAAACTTCAAAAAAGATGTTAGAAACTTTGTTATCAAATGACTATTTGCATTATGAAGATTTAGGGTGGAGCTGCCCTCTTTAACTTGTATTTTAAATATTTTCAGACATTGCAATATGTGCTCGTTAACAGTGTTGATAAAAGTCCCCAGACGAACCCTATAATTGGTCGAATTGAATGCAAGGCTGGGCATGGAGCAGGGCGTCCAACAAAGAAAACGGTAATAGATTATATGTAGTTCTTGTTTAGCTTCTCTTCCCTATTGTTGATTGTTGTGGTGTCGTTTCTAAGTTAAATGAGTTGTTAACCGCAGATAGATGAAGCTGCTGACCGGTACAGTTTCATGGCCAGAATGTTAGATGCCCACTGGATCGAGTAGATAGACAGAGCGAAGCCAAACATAAGGTGGGGGGGAGAACACAGTGCTTTTTCTGACCATACAAAGTTATTTCATGTCTTCCTTTTCCAACCATGACACCAAAGTTACTGCATTGGTGGACTGGAGGGCAATTTGAGTTTTTTGGGGAGGCCATACTTAAGGGGTCATACTACCATACAAATTTATGATTTCATATTGTACATCATCCTGTTTTATTGGCATGGAGCTTGCTTCTCTTAAACACTTAAGAACAGAATAAAATTATACTTTCTTATGTTTGATTGTCCAGACAATTTAATTTATAAACATTAATATCGAAAAACATTGTCATTCATCAGTGGTTATTTTGAAAAATTGTCCTAATTGAACCTCGTGTGGGAATAGATAGATAATTCAAAATTTTATAATAAAAAAATCTTGATTAAAAGGACATGCAATTATTTTATGATTATTATTACATCTTTGATTTCAATTTCTTATATTTATACAATCTTATAACTAAAATTATAATACAAAATTTATATCATGATTTAATAAATATTAATATATTGTAAATAAAATATAATTAGATTATAAATAATTTTCAAAAAAGATAATTTATATTTTTAGTTAATAATTAACTATATTTTAATTCAATTTAGTTGATTTATATAATCTGAAATCCAAATAATTGTATAATTAAAAAACAAAAGATAAATACAAATATAGCGATTTGCCTTCCTCTTGAGTTTGATAAAGAAAATGAAGTTGATTAAGAAAGGTGGGATGAGTTTTTTCATCTTCATCCCACCTTTATATTTAAATTTAAATCTTAAAATTTTAATATTTTTAGAATATTCTTTTTTATATATATATATTATATATATATATATATATTATTTTTTATATGTTACTATTTTTATTTTTCTTTTATCTTTTTTTTTCAATTTTTTAAATTAATTAGTTTATTATATTATTTTATTTTTTATCTTTGATTTTTTTACATTTTCTTAATTTCTTTAGTCAATTTGGTTTTTTTAATCTTTTTAATAAATTTAACAAACATAAAGTTAATTTTTTTTCTAAATATTTTACATCAATTTTAATAGTAATTAATATTATTTTATTTCTAATTTATCTTTAGTAGGTTTTATTATATTATATTTTTTGGATTTTATTATTTCTATTTGTTATATATCAAATTTTCTTAATAAAATAATTATATTTGAAGAATTAAAAATATTTAATAATTAAAATTTTATCACTTGAAATTAATTAAATAATAATTAATTTATTAAATTTTTTATAAATTATATTTTATTTATTTATAAATATTTTAAAATAATAACTTAAAAAATATTAATTTGTATATGTAATTAAATATTTATATACAGTATAATAATAATAATAATATAAACATTTTATATTTATATAAAAATGATTAAATATTTTTTTTACATATATATTTTAATATAAATATAATAAATAAAAATATATTTAATTAATAATACTAATTAAAATTTTTAAAATTGTAAATATTTATTATTTAGAAATAATGTGCAATAGAGATTGGTCAAGAGTGGAGAAATCCGAAATTCAACCAGAATTAGAATTTGATTTCTAACCTAAGAAGAATTAAGGACAGCGGGCAAGATCAGGAAGGGAAAACCTATCTATTATCATGCGAATTTAATAATCCTACCACAGCCGAAACAATGCTTTTGAAAAAGACTATTTTGCATAAGGATTATTCAAAATTTGATTGAAAATTGATAAGAGTGGTTGCAAATAAAATTGAATTAAAAAATAATTGAAAACAATTTAAAAAAAGTTTTAAACCAATTAGAATTACAAAAATAAATTTAATTGTCATCTTACTGTTATAATATTTATCATTTTAATTTTAAAATCTTTAATATATTCTGAATATAATTTTTCATCTCGAATAACATTTACTTCAAATATATACTTCGACTAATATTTTAACATTTCATTATATAGTATTGTTTTTAATATAATTTTTAAATGATTTTAGATTATGAAACCAAACATGAGTAAGTTTACATTATCCAACATCTAAGATAATATTGGAAGTCCCATGTTGCCAAGCTTATATCATGTTGATTTCGTTTAAATACTATTATCCTACTCCACCTATTGCTAATTTATTTTATATTGAAACATTAATGTTTTATATTGAAACATTAAAATGATATCCAAGCTAAAGTCTAAAAATTAAATTACACAATATTAGTTCATATTGTAAAACTCCTACAAATTTTAAATCTTTAATTCAAAATAATTACTTTACAGTCTAAATAAAATCTTTTTTTTTTCAACTTTAACATAAATGAATTCTTTTCAAAAGATCAATTCTACACAAATTTCAAACTAAATAGACCCTAAACCTCAACCATAAAGCTATAATAATTAGGATTTCCTTTTCAGCGTTGCTCAAGGGCACTAATGCAAGGGTAACGAAATAAGAGGCTAGTCTGTACGAAAAGATACACTAATAGAAGAAGAAAGTAGCTCGTCTTGAAGATGCAGATGTGTCTCTGATCATAGCACTGTCCACTCCAAAGTCGAGCAACCATGATGATTTAAGACCGGATTATGCCAGGAAACATTCCATTTTGATGTCTGTGACATCAAGTTGCAAAATTTCAGCTCTGCAACCCAAAATTGATCCGATGCTGCAAAACAAAAGTAAGTAAGGCACTTGCCAAAATGGTAACGTGTTCAATGCAGTATCGGTGGGAGGAATAAATTTATTATCAATTCCCATAAATTGAAAGTATCGTATGTCGTACCTAGGATGGGTTCGTCCAAGGTCCCCATGAACAAATTCCTTGATATAGGTCCCAGCCTGTGCAAGTACAAACATGTTAGATATTTCATACTTCAACTAATTAGTAATTACAGATTTCATTGTACATAGTGAATAAAGGGACGTCTATCATAATGTTGGACAGAATAGATTTTTGATAAAGTTATTTTTGACAGAAAAAATTTAATGTTAACTCGGATCTATGCCTAATTAATTCAGTCATAAATTTTATATTGGAATGCCCATAACGGACGCTGGCCTATGGAATAAATCCTTTTACTTTCACCCGTAAAAAGTACTTATATTAAACTTGCTTGAAAAATACTATAATAAAATGTAGAAGTCTATGGAGCATGGAGCTGTAAAGTTCGTGGTGGTAAAATTTAAAACCGTAACTATGGTTATTATGCTCTGTTTAAAAGTAAGTTCCGTCACTTTGAAACTTCATTTATTAAGAGACAATATAAAAACAATACCTGTGTACATAGGTGCAAAAGAAAATATTGGGAACTTCCAGCAATTGCCTCTACTTTCATCCTAAGATTTGAGAAACAGTAAGGGGTAGTGAAATTTCTGTTACGAATCTGAATGCAGCCTTTGTGGCATATAACTATCAATATATAGAGGATACCTACCAATGAATAATCTTTTCCCGCTCTAAAGGACTGCGACGATGTAGCACCCTTATTGGAGTCCTCTGCAAAACTTTCTGATAAAAACAAAAGAAAACATTGTGGTTACAACACTTACAAATTAAAACAAGCAACGATTATATGCAAAAATCCCAGTGAGCATGAACCAAAGAGAGACACATGTGATAGACCATGGATGACCAAGTCAATACATGGAAAAAGTGAGGAAGTTGGTACGGCAATAGGGTGAACTGGAACATGGCAAGGACAATGGAGGAGCCGTTAGGAGGAAGCATTGTGGGTAAACTAAATGGCCAGGTTGCAAATTTTGGTTGGAAAGGGTAATTCTAGCAATGATTGGGAAGAGAATGGAGGCAAGAAGGGGAATATAAAAGAGAAGTGGGTTTGTAAAGAGAAGATTTTGGAGGGCGAGGTTTAGGAAGGCTTCTACGTCCGGAGGGGCTACTAGCAGAATATTTGTTAATCTCTCTAGCTGCTGAATATACTCGCATACAAGTATGTGGTTCTGTGTGGTGAGTGTTGTTTCCCATTAAATAACCTTGCTCAAGCTATAGCAAACCTTCAAAGGAGTCAACCATATAAAATCAATTATTCAATCATCATTTGCTAGCTAGTGTCTGCATTTTTGCTTGGCAGCAGATTTTAATCTTATGTTGAAGTTGAAACATGGGTTCTATAATCTAAATCAGATTTTTGGATGAACATATAGATAGTAACTTATGTGATTGATTGGACAACAATCACAACATGAATCAAATTGATTAGTAACACCGATGGGACCTACTTTTAAGCTTCTTTAAACCCGTGTCCATTGACAGATTTGCGGGGGATCCGAGGAGTGATGAGAAATGCAACGAAAGTTGCAGTCGCAATGTGAAGAAATAATTGTATACATTTTGCATTTTTCAAAATTTATTCCCTTCCCTCTTTCAAGTGAAGAAAAATGAAGAACGATAAAAAAATATATAATTTTATAATATAATGGATTATTTTAAAAAAATAATTGATTATATTATAATTAAAAAAAAAATTATAAAAATAATAATAAATAATATGGAAATTATAAATAAAATTATTAAAAAAAAATTTCTATTCATTTCTATTATCTTTCCATTAATTCAAACAATTTTACTTTTCATTACCTTTCTCTTTGTTTCTTTTCTTTTTTCAGTCTCTCAAATCTACTCCCCCATCCAAACAAAGCATTAGTAAATCTGCTTCGTAGGATTTCTTATTTTATAATTTATAAATTGACCTAACAGTATATGCAATGGCAGATCAATATAAGCACGGCAGAAATGGATTCAGTTGACATGGACGGATAATCAGAGGCTTAAATGACAGAAATTCAATCAGGACGCGTTACAAAAATGGACAGACATGTCTTTGGGCTACTCAGCCTAAATCAAATGATGCAGATACCGAAAACAACACAATTGATTATTTTCAAGTTTAATTTGTACTTATGTACAAAATACAATTTTGATACCAAGTAATAAACCTAGAAGCTTACCAAATCCTTGTGTGAAGAAATACATTGAAAATCTTCATCCTTTAGAGGACGAGAAATCCACACTAAAGCAGCATATTGTTTCTACACAATTTTAAGATTGTAATAGTCAGGATGCATATATAGATAAAACAATGGATGAATCAAAGCTGCAAAATATCAACAAAGAAATAAAAGTAATTAGTTAATGAAATTCAAAACAAAAGACCTGCTTCTCTGCTTCACCCTCACGCATAAGGTCCCAGCCCTCACTACCAACAAGTTTCAGATTTTTCACCCTAACCTACACTAACATATGATATTATGAATTTAGCAATCATGAAATAAACAAAAGACAGTGAAACGTCACTAGTTCAGCTACAACATTACCAATTTATTCTTCATGTTATTTATCGATTTCTCTACATCTTTTACAAACAGTTCAGATGGGATATGTCGTGCATTTTGCACCTCAACAAGAAAGGGCCTGCCTGGACCCAACATTCGGACCTAGAACAGTTACAAATCAGATAAGTTCATTCATCAATAAACTTCAACAAAAAAAAAAAAACACAAATTTTTAGTACATCGATATCTTCTCTGCCTGCAGCATGAAACTTAAAACTATCACCTTGGCAGGCTTGGAGGATGTTTCCACCAATTATTTCCTACAATGATTGTAAACATTGTTGTCACCTTTCACAATCAACATTAAAAGGAAACGTAAAAGATAACAGTTATTGCCAGTCAGAAGAGAAAGTACCTCAACTGATGCTTCTCCCATTCTTTCATCATCGATGATCCAGCATGTTTGACTCACATTCCGTGAATACTGTCATGAAATTAAACACATAAATTTGAATTTGCACAGGATATATTCATATTTTTCTATCATTACTTTGCAAATTATAGTTCTATGATTACTAGACCAACTCAAGGAAATTAAAATCCATTACATAAAGAATATCTTTTCTTGTGAGAATTGGTCAATCGCAATTTAATATATTTGACAGTGCAGAAAACAAACTTGCAGTTGACAGTAAGTATCACAGAAAATTATCTCCACATATTCAATATGTATACCATGACATATGACATATCAGAACATGTTAACATGTAAAATTTAAAAATTATGAGTGGCATTTGGATAAATAAATGCAACGTTTATGATGTTTTAAAACATTGATGGAGGCAAAAACATGTATGCTTAAGAAAATTGATATATGTCATGACTTCAGAATGTAAGTCCAGATGTCCAATAAGGAAGAGTGGCGGAGGATAACAAATGCATTACCTTTAGGTATCTTCCACCAAAATAGAAGGGGGTCCTGTAGCAAAAGAAGGTAAAATGGCAAGGCTCATTTGCCTTAAATGGAAGGAAAGTCAGGTTAGCGATAGAATCATATATAATCTCAATAGAAAAATAGACAATGAATATAAAGTGAGAATCTTTGTTTCTACTATAAAGCAAAACAAAACATAATTCTCATTGTGAACCTACCATGAAAACCAACAAGGATTTATGATACACATAAATTTAAGAGACTGCATTCTAACAAGCATGACATCATTATGCAAATCAATTTAAATCTGCAATACATTTAGTCATTAAAAAGGAGGGTTATCAAGAATTACCTTTTCTAGCAAGAACTCACAGCAATCAGAGGAATTATTTTCAAGTGAATTGCTAAACGGTCTTTCTCCTTCATCTATAAAATATTACAAAAAAAAAAAAATCAAATGGTCAATGTAAGAAACTGTATAGGAAATGCTGTCTACGCCTCAGACCTATAAACAATCTAAAAATATGTTGGAGCCAACGACTAGTCAAAGGAAAACAAAAATCGATTATATGGCACTGTCTACCAAAAAAAGTTACAGCCTCTAAAAGGTCAATGAAAACTCATGAGAAAATGAGACCAGCTAGTTAATGATTATTGGTCACATAATAAGATGTTAATTCTTAAGGTGCAGAAAATCAGAAGCTCAATGAATGGCAGAACCTTTAATGTACAAGGAATACTCCTCTAAGCAATCAATCAATTATAACTATTGGTTTATCGCAAAGCATGCTTCTATAGGAAAAATAGCATAGCTAATAATTAATACTAGGGATCCGAATTTCATTATAGCAGAGCATTATAATTTGAAGAAGATTATTCACTGTCATAAAAAGGTAATATCAGTGCAAGAGAAGCACATTTTATTAAAATATAATTAATACTAATGAAATTCATGGGTTAGTTCTTTGTCCTGAATTCTGAAACAGGAAACAGTCACACTGAAAGGCACAGTACAGTACTGTATGCAATCAAAGAAAATAACAGCTCAATTTGAAGCGCCAGTGTCAGATGATCACAGTTTCTTCATAAAAAAGACAAATGAAAATACAACACATAGGAACAGTAATAAACTTGGACATGCCTATCTTTCTTCTCTTGCAAGTCTCAGCACTATCTGAGCATTTCTCATCTCCTTTTGATGCCTTTGTGTGAGTGTACGTCAAACGAATGCGGAAAGAGCCCATACTTGATTTACATTCCTGCAAAACTATATTTCTGTAAAGGATCATTGGAAAATAACTGGCCCAAAACATAAACATATTGAGTGATACGAAAAAATGACTGACCAGAAGATTTTCAAGAGGATATATCAGAGAAAACTTTAAGGCATCCTTGGTAGAGATGCATCCAGTATGCAAGTTTTCTTGGAACCAAGGTTGAGATCCAAATTTGGCTTTCATATATGAGCTACAAAAATTAAACAAATAGACGGCACTCTTATGAATATTAATACACATAAGATATACATAAATTTAACCAAAAAAAATAAGGAGGGATTTAAATATTAAACACAAAAAAAAAAAAAGTAGTCAAAAGTAAAGAAAGGTGTGAGGGTATATTATAGGTAAATTATAATTAGATTGAAAGCGAAAATAATATCTCGAAATGTTACCGAAGAGAGGTATCATTGTGGAGAATGATTGGTGGGATGGAAACTTCAAGGGAAAAGGAATGGAAGTGATAGGCGTGTCGTTTAACCGCGTCAGCAATGAGAAGTGGAAGGTTGTGATTTTGAAGGAGGGTTTGGGTGTCGTCTGAATAATAAGTGAACTGCAGAATCCCTAAGCAAAGCGTGCAGAGTTGTTGTGTGGTGGCGAAGAGAGAAGAGAGGGAAGAAGGAGAAGCATAGACGCGGCCTTGGAGGCCAAAGAGACGAAAGATGCAACGAGCGCATACCTGTGACGTGATGTGAAATAGCAGTTAATAGCAGTTACCAGAAGGAGAACGAAAAAGAATTGCAAAAACTGACCCCTTCGGACAACAACTCCTTTACAGCGTCCGCAGGCAAAGCGCGCACCAATTCTGCTTCTTCTTCTTCTTCTCCACCCAAATCCTTCACGCTTTCCTCGTGCTTCTGCTCCTCCATTCCCGATAACCTACTCACTCAGTACAAACACGAACACACTCAAATTCAAAAATCTTTTTCAAATCTTCAAATTGATAAAGGGAGTTAAACAAGCCCAGTAATTAACAAACCAAAGGTTAATACTGAAGAGGACTAAAGCACCGAAGTAGTATAAGTTAAATTGTAAAAATTCTCCCTTTCTAATTTCCATACGTAATTTTGGTCTTTCATTTTTACTTTTTGGATTTTTATCTCCAAATTTCAATAATATATATACTTTTTTTTCTAGTTCTTAATTTTTAAATTTTAATTAATTTAATTATTTTTTATAATAATATATAAATAAATATATTATATTCACGGTTTCATTAAATCTATATTATTATATAAAAAATATTTTTTCAGTTTTTTGGTATAATTATTTAATTTTATATAAATTATTTTTTCCTCAAATTATCTTAAATATAAATAAGATAAATATAAATCAAATAAATAAAATTAATTAAAAATTATCATTTTCCCTTTGTTCTTTAAATCACACATTTTTTATAAATTAATAAACAAAATTTTATTCTTTACTTTCTGAATTACATATTTTTCTCAATTTTTTTTTAATTTCATCTTATGATGGTCTGTGTTAATATTTAATATATATATATATATATATATATAATTTTAAATTAAATGAAAAATCGAACAGCACCTGAATTGGAAATTTAACTAAAAGAAAATTAAATTGCTTGTTTAATCCTTAACGCCAATGAAAAACAAGTTTAATAATGTATTGTATTGGTTAAATAAGAATTAAGACAAGTAATCAGCTCAAATAATATTCCCTTTAAATCGAGAAATTATTAGGTGATTTTGGTTATTGCCTAATTTATAATCTTAACAAATTTTTAAATGATACATTTTTAAATTTTAAAACTATAAAAGTTTAATAATATTTAATTACGTATCAAATGCAAATTAATGAAAATCGGTGTCACAAAACTAGTTATTGAAATTATTTATTCTCTTTAAATCATTCAAGTAATTGGGGTAAAAAAAATTGTAATTTTGTCATCATCAATATTGCCTTTGTAATTAGTCTCTACTAATTAGTTTCAAAAAATGCTTAAATTTGATAATTATGAGTATACTATGATTTATCGATAACTTGTCTATTATAATATAATTTCTCAATACTAAAGGTGGAACATTTTCTATGAGTAGATTTACTTTAAGATATTTAGAACCTATTATAAATTTAAAGTGGTTAAGTCATCTCTCTTTAAATCATTCAAGAATTTGGGGTAAAAAAATTGATGGATTGTAATTTCAATCATAAATATTATAATTAGTTTTAAATATTCTTAAATAACTTCTCTCATAATAATGTATGTTTTGAAAAAAAATTAAAAGAATATTTCCTAAATAAAAAAATATAAAAAATAATAGAAAAATATTAAATAGTAAAATATATAAATAATGATTAAGATTGTAAAGTCTCATAATTTAGCCTAACCTAACTTAATCTTATAAATTAAGTAAAAAACAAATAAATTAATGATCAACGTGATATATTTTTTGAAACTTCTCCCGTGATAATTCATGGCATAAATGTAAGTTCGGTTAATAGGTTATAGATCAATTTTGATTTAATTAAATATTAAAAGAAAATAGTAACATGTTCGTATAAAATAATTAATTTAGCAAAAAAATATATTTTTTAAATATTTAAATTATATTAATAAAATTAATTTTTAAATTTTTATAATAATTTAATATATAAATTATAAGAGAAGATTTGTTCCATCTTAAAATAAGAATTAATAAATTTATTTTTTATTGTCATTATTTATTTTTAATATTTTAATATTTTAAAATTATAATTCAATTAATTTAATCATTAAATCCTTAAATAAATGGATGTTAGGTACTTAATGAATAATTATTAAATTAATTTATAATATATATATTTTTTAATAAAATATATTATTTTTTATTTCAAAAATAATTATTTTTTATAAAATGGACTAACCTATAAACTTATAGGAAAGTATATGACCTAAATCTATTTAGGTGATGTAGGTTTAACCAAAATTGATCTCAATAAATTTAATTCATCAATTTTTTTTGTTTAATATGATATATTTCTCGAATTTTTTAGTCGATTCATTAAATTAAACCTATTTTGATATCTTTAGTAGTGATTCATTTATGGATTTAACATCTTTTCATATGAGAGAATTAGACCACAAATTTAATTATTTATTATTATTAAGAGGCTTGTAAATCTTCTTCAAGATACAAAAAAATCTTATAAAAAATAATAAATAATAACAAAGTAAAATGACTAATCAAAAGATGTACAATTAATTACCTATGAAAATCTTATAAAAAATAATAAATAATAACAAAGTAAAATGACTAATCAAAAGATGTACAATTAATTACCTATGAAAGATAGGAAGTATGTAAGTTCTAAGATGAGTTCAACAAATTAAAGAATCAAACAATAAATATATAGGCATATGAAATGTAACACTTGTCAATTTATAGTTTTACTCCTTTAAAAATCCTCCTCCAAAGAGATATATGAAAATGATTTACTCCCACTAAACCACAAATTCCTCAAACTGTAAAACACCCATGTGAGCAACATGCTCATGAAAGACCTTGGGCGAAAGTCCTTTAGTTAGAGGATCTCCTATCATGGAGTTTTTCCTTAAGTGTTCTATGAAAATTTGTCCACTTTGTACTCTTTCCTTAACAATACAGCTGATTTGTTGTCACAATATAACTTAAGTGTTTTTTCAATGTCTTTCACAATTTACAGCCCTATGACAAAATTTCTCAGCCATATTCCATGATTTGATGCCCCATAGCATGCTACAAATTCTTGACATCCTGCAAAATCTGAGTCAGAAAACCTAGCGATCTCCAACTGGTCTGACCTCCTGTATGTGAGCATATAATCTTTTGTTCTCTGTAAATATCTTATGACCCTTTTTGCTGCTTTCCAATGTTCTATTCCTGGATTGCTTAAATATCTGCCTAGAACCCCAACTATGTATGCTATGTCTGGATGCTTACATACTTGGACATAGATCAAACTCCCTACAACTGATGTATAGGGAATATTTTGCATTTCCTCAATTTCCAAATTCTCCTTTGGGCACTTATTGAGACTAAACTTGTTCCCCTTTAAACTTGTGATACACACAATCATCAACAATATTCATCTACTTGATGAAATTTGTAGTACCATTGACGAGATGCATATTTTAGTCCATAAATGAATTTTGTCAGTTTGCAAATCATATTCTTTGAATCTCCCTGCACAAAATTTTCTGGTTGTACCATATAAATTGTCTCAACAATGTTGTCATTGAGAAACGCCGTCTTGACATCCATTTGATGAAGCTCCAAATCATAATGTGCTACAAGAGCCATGATTGTCCTAAAAGAGTCTTTCGATGAAACTGGAGAGAAAGAGACTTTAAAGTCAATCCCTTCCTTTATGATATAGCTCTTAGCTACCAGACGAGCCTTATACCTTTCCACATTACCTTTAGAATCCCGTTTGGTCTTAAACATCCACTTGCAACCAATGAGTTTCAAACCTTCTAGTAATGGGACAAGTTCTCAAACCTTATGGACTTATACTCCTCCTTCATTGCTTCAATCCACTTTTGAGAGTTAGAACCTTGCATAGTTTGACAGAAGTTAACTGGGTCATCTTCCATTATATCATTTTTTTCCTCATGTTCCTGAAGAAATACCATGTAATCATCCGAAATAGCACTTCTTCTTTCTCTAGTGGATCTCCGCAAAGTTATTGGCTCATGATGCACAGGTTCTTGAGGATCTTGAGTTTGTTCTTCATGAACAACCAAATCATCTTGAGTAAGGGGTCCATTAACAATGCCTTGTGGAGGTTCTGAACTTACTTTTATCAAAAGTAATTGTTTGAATCGGTTCTGGAATTGTTACCGATTCTTCCTCCAAGACAAAGTTCCTGATTTTATTCTTCCCCCCAAACTCAATATCCTCAAAGAACGTAGCAGTTCCCTTCTCAAAAAATTGTCTTTAATGTGGGATCATAAAATTTATATCCCCTGAATCTTTCAGCATAACCAATAAAATAATTATTTACTATTCAGGAGTCTAATTTCTTTTCATTTGGCTTATAAGGCCTTGCCTCAGCTGGACATCCCCACACATGGAAATGCTTTAGACTAGGTTGTCGCCCAGTCCAAAGCTCATAAGGTGTTTTGGTAGCTGCTTTAGTTGGTACTTTGTTTAGAATATAAGCTGTCGTCTTTAGTGCCTCTCCCCAGAGTGACTCGGGTAAGGTGGAATGACAAATCATACTCCTGACCATATCTTTAAGAGTCTGGTTTCGTCTTTCAGCTACACCATTCATACTAGGTGATCCCGACATGGTATAATGTGGGACAATTCCACACTCCTCTAGGTACCTGGCAAAAGGTCCTAGATGTTGTTCACCTGACCCGTCATATCTGCCATAGTACTCACCACCACGATCAGACCTGACAGACTTAATTCTTTTGTTGAGTTGATTTTCAACTTCAGCTTTAAATGTTTTGAATACGTCCAGAGATTGTGATTTTTTCATGTATAAGAAATAAGTATGCATATCGTGAGTAATCGTCTATGAATGATATAAAGTATTGTTGACTGTAACATCCTGATTCTCAATACCCCTGGTTTGTTAAATTTTGACAAAATCTTTGTCAAAATTTTAATAATTAAATTATTAGGAATTGGGTAAAGAAACTGTAGAGTTTTATGTATGTTAGATTATTTGTGTTTTTCTAAAATTTTTCTAGAATTTTTAGAAAATACTTAAAATTGATCCGTTTCGCGGGCAACTGGACACCTGATAGTAATTATATGATTTAGGGTTGAAATTGAAAGAGTATGGACTTAACAATTTTAATTGTCACATTTAGAAATTATTGTTTTCTTGTATGCATTGAGTGTGGATATGTTAAAAGTTTATTATGTGTATA